TTCCCATGATGAAAAAAGGGTGGCTGGGTGCTTTGAACTAAAGCTCATTGAACGTGTTTTATTTCAAAGCACCCTGCTGCCATTTTTTCAGCATGGAGACACACAGGGATGCTGATATACATGAAGCAGAAGGCTGCCAGAGCGAGCACATCAATTTCCGTGCTCCAGCAGACTCGATTAATCAAGTCTGCCCCGATGCGCTGGATTTCCAGTGCACTGAAGCAGGCTCCATGCACGTGTATAGGAGCCCATTGGTTCCATTGGGTCCCTAAGACTCCTTTGAAAATGGTACCCCTATCTTCCTAGCAGACTCCTGTGACTTTAGTTTATTGTTCATGTATTTCTAACCTGGGCATTACAATTCGTATTGATCCTCACATTAGGAACATTTGCTTATTACAAGGCTTTCAGGATGATCAGCTAAATGAAATTCAGATCTGGATTGTATTGTTTTATCCTAATATCTAAAAAAAAGAAAAAGAAGAAACAAAATAAAAAACGGGTTAGTCAGTATAACAGAGGTGTAGCTCACAAAGTTCTGTATAAGAGAGTCACAGGTTGCATTCATGTACATCACTTTTAATCCCAAAGCCCAGCCTAATGTATATCCCCAGAAACAATGTTCATTTCAACATAGATGAAATTTTATGCATGTTCATTTTGAAGGAATGCCACTCATGGAGATAGCTGTAGTCTTTGTTCTGAAGAATGTTCATTGTAAATCAAGTCCCATTGTTGAAAAAAGAATAATTTGCAAGCCAATCTTTATTTTCTTTTTATATGTTTAATTGATTTGATATTTATGGGTACTCCCTTGATAAATTAGAGGAATAATACCCAGTGTAACTGGGAAGCTCTGCCCATGTTACTAGCAGGGCTTGAATCGGTAAAAGAGCCAGGGATCAAGCAGCTAATGAGGCAATTAACTGCACCTGGCCCTGGGGAAAGATGAACAAAAGGGCCAATCAGGTGACTGGAAAGGGGCTGGATTGAGGAATATAAACCCAGTCCCTGAGCTGGAAAGAGTTAGTTTGGCCCTGAAGGCATCAGGGTGAGGAGCTCTTGTGTAAAGCAGCTGCAGGAGGCAGGCTGACCAGCGCCTAAACAATCTTAGCATGCTGTGAAGAAGAGGCCAAGGGGAACTCCCAGCTTACAGGGAAGTATTAATGCAGAGTTGGGAGGATTTTTTTGTTTTACAGCTGTTGGGTGGATGTTTGTGTTTTGGTTAAATCTACCAGAGGACTAGATTAGGGCTGTATGGGGAGGAGCAGACCATGGACAGGGGTGCCTCAGGGCAGCCTCCTTGCAGATAGCACCAGAGTTCAAGCCCTGAGACAGAAGGGCAGAGATGATTGAGGTGAAAGTGAACTCTAGAAAGGGGCTTACTGTTGTGGTAGGGCTGAACCTGGGAGGCTGAGGCCTTGACCAGTGGGCTCAAGTGGAGGGTGTGGCCTTGGAGGAAAAAAAGGGGCCAAGGCAGTGATTCTGAGACCCTGACAAGTGCTGAATCCTATGTGCATGTCCCCTTCAAAGGGGAAGTACTTGTAGAGGCCAGAAGGCTCCAGGTGTGGTTGGTTAGGATGGACAGATCAGCCCATGATGTGACTATGGACCCACAGGGACCCCTCCCCAACAACAAAAAATGACATTGAAGTTGTAGCAGGCGAGTGATAGGAGGTGAAGTGGGGTTGGGAAGGCACTGTAAGCAGGCAGACTCCTGCAGGTGCTTCATCCAGGCAGTAACTTACTCACAGTCTGTTAACTTTCACTATTTATTGTTCATTAATCATGCTTCATGGCTGGTTCCCCAAGTCTCATGACATTTCTTCTTCCTGATTATACATTATCAGGTGTCTGAAGGTTCATAAAGCACAGTTGCTTAGACTACAAGGCCTTTGGGACAGGCCTTGTTATGTTTGTACAGCATCTGGCACAATATGAGACTAGAGCCTCAAAAGCTAGAAATATCCACTGCTGAATGAAGTGGATCAGCTGTACTAAGATATGTCCTGGTGCAGCTGATCTGCTTCACTGGGTGAAATGCACATTGCTCATTGATGCTGTGAAACAATGAATGATGTATTTTCCCAGAGCTTGAGGGGCCTGGACCTGTGTACCCTAGGAATTCCCAGGTGGGGTTAGGTCCCTTTAAACCCATGGCTTACCTGTTTGGGGGCGCAGCTAGAAAGTGTGGGCAGCTCTGGGTTGCCTGTCTTCTTGCACTCTAAAGTAAATAGATCTCTGCTACTAAATAGTGGCACAAATTGATACCACTTTCATCATGGCCACAAAGCTTGGACATTTGTGGCACAATAAGGGGTATGGGTGTCTGTTTTGCCGCCTTATGGCAACACAAAGGCCATATTTTTTGGCATCTTAAGTGCCATTGCAATGTCAGTCAGTTATTATCATTCTGAGGTGGAGTTTACATACCTGAGATTGGTTAGTGGCTCATGACTGTTACTCCATTGTTTGCCTTACTTTCTTTTCCTGCCCCTTCATGCCGAAGCAAATTACATACCTGTTTGTGTCTGGTACTGGCAGTTGGCTCCAGTCCAGTCTGGAGGACAAATGCATTTGTACTGGTTTACTCCTTCCATACATGTTCCACCATTCTGGCAGGGGTGACTAGAGCATTTGCTGACATCTGAGCAGAGAAAAATGTTTTAAAAGAGATTCTGTGGACTGTATTTCATTAACTCAAGGTTTGATCCTATAGCCCCTCTATAGAGCTCAGGGGAGCTTTGCCTTAAAATGTCTTCAGGGTCAAACCCATAACAATACACCAAATATAATAAAGGTCATGACCAACAAATAATTGGGTCAGGATTTAGAAAAAACAATGGCCTAAGCTTAGGTTTTTAAGACCTCTTGAAGTGTTAATGGAAAGTAACAAGTATTTCATGCTTTTAAAAATTGGAGATTTGGGAGTTTTAATATTGTCTTGGGTGACTAACTGCAACCTCATGGGCCTAAGTCCAAAACATAGATCATAACACAGACTCTAGATCCCTACATTTTCCTGGTAAAGTTCCCTCAACACCCACCAATCTGTTACTTGGCATTTCTAGTGATGCTTATACCTTTTAATTTTGTAATCTGCAAGCAGCTCTTTGCCAATTATGTGTGTAAGCTTCAAGGGGTTCATAGAACAGGTGTTGCCCTACCTGCCTTGCCTGCCTGATAACATGCCTCCTAAACCAGGCTTTTTGTGCAACCCATAACCAGAGGAGGAACATCCCCCTCCCCTACCCACTTCAGCCAAGTGCCCAGTGGTCTGAGCACTCCCTTGGGAGAGGTTCAAATCCCTCCTCTGCCTTGCAGTACTTGAAATCAAAGGTCCCATCTTCCAAGAGATAACCCTAACCACTAAGCTATTCTGGGGGGAGGGCAGGGGTCTCATCAGTCCTTCCTGTCAAAGCTCTTCCACTTTGCTTAGATACTTAAATATTCATTGGGGCAGAGACTTTAGTGAGACTGCTTCTACCTCCTTGTGATTAGGGCACTTGGCTAGGCAGGGAGAAACCTGGTTTTTGGTCCTTGCCTGTGGTGAATGCATGTCCGGGGTCAGTACAGACTAAGAGTGCCTGACTCCAGACTATACTGTAGCCTGGTCATCCGTAGGCTTAGGTCCTCTTTGTCAGAAGTGTGATTTGAAATTGGGTCTCCCAGGAAGTGCTCTAACCTCTGGCTGTTGAGTAAAAGGGCTATTCCAGCTCTATTTTGGGAGAAAGGACTGGCTTGGAAACAGCATCCTAGAGGAGGTCTCATGGCTATGGCTGCCAGGAGTTCAGTGCCTTGCTCACTCTGAGGGGTGGGGTTAAGCTATACCCCTTTCTTCAGTCTCTCCTAGCTCTTGTGGATCCCACCCTGAGGCACTGGTTTCTGCCTGCACACTATGTAGAAACTGAGCACTCTGTCCTAGGCTGTGGATTTTGCTGGCTGGCAGGGGGTGCTAAGAGAAAGGCCCTTCAATGTTCAGTATTGTTGAGCCTAAGTCCCTTATGGATTGTGCCCTTGGGGTTCAAATCCAAACAGGTATGTAGATGACCAAGGAACCTAAATATTTGGGATTCTAGGCCTCAGGAGCCTAAGCCAAAGCCCCTATCCTTGAAAATCACGGCTTGGATTTTTAATTAATCCATCCCTTGTCAAGGGGTGTTATGACTGCATGATATAACTTTCTAAGTATTTATCTTAGAGGCTGCAGTTATGTGCATTTTGCCTACGTTGGCTGAAGTCAGTATGTGTATCACTAGGAACACTGCCAGCTTGTCCAATAGCATTGGTCAAGTGATCTTTCAGAATACTACTTATTATTTTGGGAGGAACAAATGCTTTTGCTGTGATTGGCTGGGCAAACTCTCTTCACAAATCTATCTGAAAGCTATCTTGAATAGTCAAACAACAAAGATGACAGAACCCAAGAAGCTGTTTGCATAGCAACCAATTTGAGCAGGAAATTGCAGAAAAATTATTATCCACAAACTGGACTGTGTTAAATGGGGCCTGTGGATTCTTACCTCACTACCTAGATTTGTTTTTTGTGATTACCCTTTGTTCTTATGGGTTTACTGCTCTTTTTCTAGTCTCTTCTAGCACTAATCTCTTGCATTATCCACCCTGCCCTTGCCCCCATTTTTTCTGTTTCTAATTTCTCTCTGCTTTTTGTGCACATCCTTTCACAGCATCTGATAAGATGAACTTTGTTTTCATGAAAGCTTGTGCTCTCTCTAAATATCTTGGTTAGCTAGCATATAAAAGGCGCATATCTACCATGCCTTCTGACTGACATGGCTAACTACTTCTCTCCACATATTGAGATACCAGACTGTTATTGACTGAGACTGGGAAGGCTTCCCAAGTTTTTTAAACAAAGCATTTAAACAGGACTTTTAGCTGAATGAAATGTGATGGAAGCAAACTACTACCAGAAGACTTGTCTTGCTGTGTTTGATCGGAATGCTTCCAAATTCCTGTTTACCCAAGCAGTGTTTTCACCTCTGCTCAGTGTGTTCGGTTCTTAAGTTGTCAGTTCAGAGGAATGTCAGTGAAGAAACAGGCTGTGAATTCCGCATGGATAACAATTCCTTGGCAGCTGCTAAAAGTTGAGCTTGTTTGGTCATCAATAGCATATTCTGAATATTTAAGGACTGCTGGACCATGAAGCTTCTGAACAAGAAGTCAAAGAGCATTAACCCCTATATCTCTTTCTATAGCAGGTGTGTGTGTGTGTGTGTGTGTGTGAGGCCAGTACCAAGAGACAAGGCAATAACATCTTTGGATGCAGATTCAAGATGGAGTCACTGCACAGGTGTTCAATGCAGTGGTTGCCAAGCATTCTCATATCAAGGAAAGCCTCATAAAGAAGCCTTTATCTTGGGTGTGTATATATAATGAGCCTGGGAGGATTCAATGGCTCATTCTACTTCCTGCAGGGATTCCAGACTGTCAACCTGTCTAACATAGCTGAGATAATCTCCTGAGACTCCACTTGCAAGCCCTAATAGAAAGCTAAAGCATTTGGTGATTTACAGCAATGCAGGGGGTATGCGTTAGTAGCTTAATGGCCCATTAGCATTTTAGACAATGTGATGGAATTCACTTAAACAAACAGCACTTTCACTGTGTAGTATCTGAAACTCCCCACTAGCTGTGAGTCTGTGTGTGAACTACAGGAACTGTATGTTTGCAGGAGCGTGAGGTTGGGGTTTTTTTTTGTTGTTTGTTTTGTTTTTGTCTTTTTTTTAGGCTTGGAAAGACTCCTACTTGAGCTTTATTCAGAATAAATTGCATGATTTATATCCAGTGGTAGCAAACTTAAACATGCCTAAATGTATAATAATGCCCAAGTTAAATCATTTCCC